ACAAAAGCCTCTGAGGACACCGGCATGCTCGGGAGCAAAGCTGCGGAGCCCGCGGGCAGCGGCCAGCCCAGACGCGCTGCGGCTGTCCCGCTGCTGGCATCCTCAGAGGCAGCAAACCCCGTTCGTAACTGCGGGCAGCAAACCCCATTCGTAACTGCGGATCCGACATAAGTCGGATCCGCGTAACTCGGGGACTGCCTGTACTTCAGACTTTGGCAGGGGACCGATGCAGTGAGGATGAAGCCAAGCGCAGAAGCATTTTTAATACATTGCTCATTTTCAGAAGTACCATATTTCATTTCAAAATCTCAGGCCAGGTCTATCCTAGATCCAGAAGGTCGGCTTAAGGTATGTTATTTACGTAGCTGGAGTTGACATACCTTAAGCCGAGCTTGGTGCCGTCTTCGCAGCAAGGAGGTCGACAGGAACAAATGCTCCCATCAGCTTCCCTTACTGTTAGTGAATTGAGCAGCACTGGGACCAACTGGGGGCACATTCAGCATTCAAGTTAGCAGGTTCTTACTAGTCCCACTAAATCGAGCACCAGGAGATTGATCTCTGGCACAGAAAGTGGAGACGTGGCTGCAGCTGGAATGATTACATCAGAATACAACCAGCTACAAATTCTCTGCTTCCGAATTACCTGGGGCTGGTTTCTGGAGCTACGCAGACTGGATGTTGGCAAACGACCATGAACTCTTCTAAGCAGTGATCACATATAAATGGCAGTGATCCAGAAGGCCACAAGGCTTTGTTAGTTAGTTCAGAAACTTTTGGGGGCAGGGATTATCTCTTACTATGTGTTTGTACAGTCCCTATCAGAATGGAATATACACAGGTTTCTCCATCTCTCCTTTTTATACATGGGAGAAATGAGACTCAGAGAAGCGAAGTGACATGCAGGCCAGTAGCAGAGTTAATATGACAACCTATATTTCCTAAATCCCAGCTCAGGGATCTATACACTAGGTAACACTGCCTCAGAGTCAGAACAGATTCACAATGTCATCTGGTATTTCTGTACACTCTTGAAATCCTGAGGGTTAATTTTTATGTACACATTACCCTCCAAGATGTCTCACTTTTAAAAGGTTTATCTCCAACAATGCCAAAATCAAAAGCAATTAAGATAGTCCTTACATGTGCAAAACGTTCAGCGTTTCTGTTCACTGTGAACTGGTAAGTCACATTAGGGAACTGAATGCTGACGGGAAGAATGGAGACATTGAAGTGGAGCATTACAGTTCTTTCAGGGCCATGAAACTCTGTGTCATTCACCAGAACATCCAACTGGAAGGATCGGTTCTCTGTGACTGAAATATTTTTATTCAGCATCAGTTCTGCAAAAGAGAAGATGGGTTTTTCACACAGGCAGAGGCATTTTTAGGCAGCACAAAATCCCAAACTAGAAATATCAAAGCTATTCTTCCATCACCGGCTCATGGCAGGCTACTAGGTCATGTGAGGGGTTGCATTTTAAAACTAGAGCTATGTTCTCCTATTCTGTACAATGAAAAGTATCTTACAACTACAGCTGGTTGGGAATTTTTTGACAAAATGATGCTTCATGGGAAAATGTGGATTCATCAAAATTATTTTTTTTCCCTCAGGAAAGTTTCACATATGTCTTCTGGCAAAAATAAGAGACACCCGCCACAGACTAGCCAAGAGCCTGGTGGGTGGGGCTCTCACCTGGCACGTGGTGATATGTCTACCCAGCAATGAGAGGACCAGCAGCAGTGACTGTCCAAGCTGAGGTCAATGAGCTTGTGCAGAAGCGTTAAAAATAGCAACGCAGACTTCCAGGCTGTGGCTGGAGCCAGTGATCTGAGATATTACAGCCAGCCTTGCCCAGTTTCAATACCTAGGCTCCATCCTGAGCCAGAACATCTGCCCTGCTAGATTTAGCCCAGCAGTGTGAGCCCAAGTCAGCCTGTTGTGGTGTTAGGCTCTAGGTTTGTTTGTTTGTGTTGTCTGGGTAGCTGTATTTTGGGAGACCAGGGTGCATGCCCTATCCATCCAGCTATGCTCTATTCTGGAGCAAATGGATAGGCCTCTCGCTCAGTTTTTCCATGCGTCTTCACAAAATGTCTCTGTTTCTCCCTGAAAAAATTATAAAAATATCACGAATTTGTGCAGTTGAGGTAAAATGTTTGTGATCCAGCTGACATCATGAGCGTACAATTACACTCTGAAACGCAATAAAATCTGAACCTCTCTTGGATCATCAATACACCATGCAACGGTCATATTCCTCTACAGTTACTGTGTTATAGGATGAAAGAACATAGCATTACAGGCCCCTTTTTCAGTCCCAAACTTCTAGTCTGTCCTTGGGCTTTTCTGTCTTATTTCCCATCTACCTGGTATTTTTCACATGCACAAAAAAGTCAAATTACAATACTGATCCATTGTAAGTAAAGCCATTACACCCTTTGTTAGAAGGAAGAGACCTTACTTACTGTATTCATGCAGGGTTCCCCTCACTTGGCTGCCATTGGGGCTGAAATAGATCTCGTGGAAGATGTGATCCACCCGAAATGTTTCGCTAACCCACGGATCTGTTGTACTGATGGTGCCTGTGTACTTTTTTCTGCTGCTTTCAATGGGGAAAATAGGTGTGGTGTCTGCATCACAGACAGTCAGTGTGGCTAAGACAGTTCCCTAGAAAAAAATAATAGAAAACATGGAGAAAAATCAAGGATTGCCACACTATTGTTTTTTTCCAGATTTATTTTCTGGTTTAATATCTGAATACGTGATACAAGTTGGAAACCAAAGTCCTGCCCATATAAGGCTCACAGACATTCTATAAAAAAAATCCACTTCCATTCCGGGTCTTTGTAGGTCTTTAACGCAAAGGGGAAAGACTGAGGATATTACTGCTTACTACCTATCTGGGGACAGATGAACACTGTAACCATTTCATAACGCCACTGAGTTGCAAAATCACTGTAGCAACAGTTGCTTTTGAGATCTGTGTAAGGACAGCATATCTGACTCCAGCAGCCCCCAACCAAAGGTCTAAATGACTCCAGAGACTTTGTAGCTAGGATGATCTTGGGAGGGTTTGGGGGAGGGGAGGATTTTGCAATCATGGTGCATTACTGACTCAACATGAGGCAATGGCACAGAATGACAAGCCAAGTGAAAAATATGGCACTGGCTATTTAGGAGACTGAGTAAGAATCCTGTGTGAGTGGTGAATCATCATCGAATTTTCTTGTGTGCCAATATCTGCTCAGGTCAAAAAAGCATGATGAAGCACAGGGTGTCCTCAGGGAATCCTCAATGTTCTTGTGAGGCAGGTGAGCAACAAATCCCCATTAAATAGCCAAGGGAGAAGAAATAGAGTCCATGTGATGTCACAAAGGCCCCAGAGGGCGAGTGAGAGACCTATGATCAGAAATCAGATGGTCTCGGATCCCAGTCTTGTGATCATCCCACTAGATAGCTCTTTATTGCCTCTGTGTTGGATTTCTGATTACCTTGCAACAGGCCTCACTCATTTTGCATCGTTATTATTTCCTTGGCCATTGAGATTCTCATGCAAATCCTTTCTCCTTCAAATTTAAATGTACTAATTATTAGAGGTGTTTGGAAGTTTTCCAAAAGAAGGTTGTTAAATCCAAACATTGATTGTGGCAAGGTTTTCAAAAGGAAAATACCCAACTGCTGGTTTCAGCTATCTTATACATTATATTAAAGTTGACAGACTTTTCCTGAATATTTCATTGAAAAATACCGAGACTTCTACTGTTCATCCTGATAGGAGAAGAAATTAAATATCAGGGTCACAGGGAGAGGAATTTCACTTTTCAAGTAGCTCTACTATGTCCAAGTGTGCATGTCATTGATGTGTCCAGCCTATAGGTGGGAGCAAACATCCATAAGTGTATGCTTTCCTTCTAGCACAGAAATGTCCAAAATCCAGTTTAGTTCCACGGGAAACAAATGCAGCTATTAAAGAAATATTATTAGACAGAAATCCTGGAGGGAAGTGACTGAGACTTTAGGCAGAGTTTATGCTGAATGCACGACGGAACGGCTCAGACATAACAACCATCTATGAAAGCGTTTGTGAGTATTTCTTCTCCCAGAGAAAGCCCCAGCTGAATTCTGTTCCACTCATTTTATACATCAGTATCTTGATTTTTACCTTAAAGCCATATGAAAAATGGGTCCTGCCTTCTTTCAAGCTGGACTCTTCCTTATGGCAGGAGGGGCTGTACAGAGTAGAGCCAGATGGAGGTGATAAAGGGTTGTCAGTGAGAAGTCTTAAGCTACCGAACAAGATTCTACCCTTGGTCATAAATACTCTGCCATTGTTGACCTTCAGTGAAGGCTGCAAGACTCATCATTTTACCTTAGTATCTGAGGAAAGGTGGGGCCTAAGAGGGACACCTGTTTATTTAGGACAGCTGGTTGGTTTGCCAGGAAGTTGTTGCTGGTTTTGTTCCATTTGTATTTGTTTCTTTAACAAACACCACCAGTGCCCAAGGCAGCAGATAGGGGCTTCATTAAATCCCATTATAAAGAAAAATAATATCAATTGACTAGAAGATTTACTCGGCGCTGCTCAGGTCCATGGCTCAATTGATTGATTGATTTTTTAAATAAAACGAAATCGTCCATGCTTCCTTACAATCATTGATCTGGGCTGGGGCTGGGGAGAGGGGTTCAGGATGCAGGTTGCTGCCAGGGAGAGAGGGCAACCCCAGCCCATTCAGGATGCAGGTTGTTGCCAGGGAGAGAGGGCAACCCCAGCCCTCTGTCTCCACAGCAGCTTGGGGCCAGATGAGAAGCGCCTCTGTATGCCTGCTGCTGCTCCCATGGGCACAGTCAAGGAAGGGGAACATGTCCCCCAGCTGGGGCAGGCCCAGGGTCATCTGCCCCCTGCACTCCTCAGCCAGGGTAAGGAATGTAGCCAACTGTGCACCTTCCCCTCTCTCCCTGACAAAGGGGAACAGCCAGCAATGTTCTTGTACAAATGGGGGAGGGCCACCTGAGGATGGAAAGCTCAGAGGGGGGGCACCCCCAACTAGCCTCTTTTACCTACTTAGTGATTCTTTCTCTTTTCTGTATGGTTTTCTGAGAAGCAGTCCCATTTCAGACACATCCCATTTTCCTGGCACAACCAACCCCTTTACCTTGCATTAAGTTAGGATAAGAGGAAGCTGTATCTCGAATTTGGTGGTTCTAGCTCTTACTGTTGAGGAGGAGTGTCGTCTTTAATTCCACACACCATTGCTTTCCACAGGACCCAGGCTTCAGGGAGTGCAGTTCACAAATGGGGAAGAATCACTGTTGCATAGACATCTGTAAATCTTGAATGTCTTAACTTCTTAGTGATGAACTTTCCCACCTACATTATATTTTAAGATAGCTTTTTCTATGTGCTATGTAGGCAGAATCGGATTCACACATCTAGCAAAACCTGTCTTGAATGATCTCTCTGATAACTACTAGCTCATTGGAGGTAGTCACCACATTGTATGTATGAGTACGTTGATGATTATCATGTAGTCAGAGCTCTCTGGGCTGTATGGTAAATTAGGGCGTATGAAGTTGAGAGCTAACATACAAGGACTGACATGTCCATGTGGGCACGCCTAACCCACGGCATCCCCACTGAATATCTCAGCATCCAAGCAGATGAGAACTCTACCTCTTTTCGGTTGAACTCCACGACCGCATCCGTCGTACTAGTGCCATTGGGCAGGAAGGGAGCAGAATCATCTTCGTCTAACACGCTCACCAGGAAGGGCACCTCGACCTGCATCTCCTTAGAGCGCTCCCTCACGGTACACTTGGCGATCAGCTCGTACCTCTCTCTTTCCTCCCGATCCAAACGCTGCGTGACGCTCACCCTCGTGGTGTTCTCATTGTAGCGGAAAGGCAGCGTGTCAACTGCAACAACACATACAGAGCATAAACAGGGATAGTGCTTTTCTGTTAATCAAGGGTGCCAATAGCCTCCGTGGGCCCCTGGGCAAGGTGGCGGGGTGGCTCCCAACTCCCAGAAGGAGTGGGGCTTTGGGTAGAAGGGGCAGGATTGGGGCAGCCAGCCCTCCAAGCTGCCTAGAGCGTAACTGTTCCCTTTGCCTCCCCACTTGTTGGCAGGCCTGCTCTTAGTGGTGTGTGTTTGCTCTCCTCCTTGACATATTGACATGACCCCAGTGAATCCATTTTGGCTGCCTCTATGTACCAAAAAGGAAGAATTTCACTCTGTGTTATGAAAATCCATCCAAGCAGAGACCTGGAGGAAGGTGGAGGAGCTATATTGGGGCAAAGGGCAGACGAGGAAGCCTAAACGACTTGTGTGGAACCAGAGTAGACTAACCAACACAGGACCTCTCATTCATATGGCCATTATCTGGGTCGTTTACCTCCAGTTTTACCTGCCAGTAATTTGTAGGAAATGGTGACATTCTGGCACAGGTGATGTATTGAGGGTAATTGAAGCTGATGAAATGTGCCAGGGGGTTTATTCTCCTTGATGTGAAAGGAGAGATCCATTTCGGAGAAACAAAGCTCCCTTGGTGTCAGAGCATTGCAAGCTGGTGCAGTTGCATTGATGATGAAGAGATGCACCACGGCAGAAGTTGAGGTCTCACATTCCTTCCCTTGGAAGGGCTGGGATGAGAGGTAGACAGGAAATGTCACCTTTGGTAATGACATCCAATTTCTTCCAACTGCAAAAACAGAAACAAAGAAACAATTGACAAAGGAAGAACAAACATTCCTCTTAATAATTCCCTTCCATCTACCATTATTCTACAGCGGGCCAAGTAGTCTACTCCCTGATGTTTGGCACCTCCAAAAATAAAGCCCAATGTATTTGAAGTTGGACTGAGCAATCCAAAGTTACAGGCTAATATGGAAAATATGATTCTTACAAGTTCTCCTATTGCTTCTAACTACCCTACAGTGGAACCCTACCAATTGGTGAAACTGATTAATCGGAAAAGGCAATTTCAGCAGTATTACTGCATTAATTTCTTACACCCTCATCTAATGCTACCTAACTTCCTCATGGATCAAAACCACCAGGAGACAGTTTCTGTCAATTGAATACAAGATGATGAAGTTCTTCACACTTCATTTCTATAGTTCAATGATACATGGTTCTTACTGAATACAAGATGATGAAGGAAACACTTCATTTCTATAGTTCAATGATACATGGTTCTTACAAAAAAATGAAAACCTTACCTCAAGCAACATAAACAGGCATCACTTAACCCTTTCACCAGATAATCATTTACTATCCCATACAAAAGGTACTCTAGGTATCTGGGTCTTTTTAATTAAAGGTTTTACTTATATTAGTTACCCCAATTTATCTAAAACTGGTCTGTATGAACTGATGTGGAAATAAAAATTATTTTAACCAACACATACATGGGTATAACTTGGTGGTAAATTACTTAAATTAGGATAAACTTTTGGGGATTAAAATGGCTTAAGTGTGTCTTCTTTTGGAGTCCAGTCTAATTTCATTATATTTAGTTAAACTGGTGAAACTTCCCCAGTGAAATACCATCATTTGACAATTAACCCAATTTCTTCTTGGCCTTAGTGTTTGTTTTGCCACATTGCCTTAATGACATCATGTTCATCTGGGGGTTCTTGTTGATCCCAAAATTCATTTACAGTAAGTAAACAGTTCTTCCCATTTGATCCCTAAGCACTGATTTGCTACTTATACGCTGCTGGATAAATCCTATTAGATGCAAGAGCTTAGCTTCAACTCTGGACATTACCGCAACTGGAGCTACTCTTCCCAGACTTACACAGGATATCAAAGTCTCCTCTATCCAGGCTTTTATTGAGGTAGAGAAGCCCGGTTTTTTCTCTGATTTGAAACCAATGATTTTCATAGGATCCAACGCGATAGATAGAAAGACGTTGGCACAGCTGAAAGTGGGCCACCTCGCCATGTGAATCTCTCAAGGCATGGATGTGCAGTAGCGGCGTGCCCGCTGGTTGATCAATGTAGACATTCTCAGAATATTCTTTCCTAGGAAAGTAGAGACCAAAGGAAACTGCAAAGGAACACAAATAAGAGCAGAATGGTTAAAGCTGAATGAACTCTGGGTAGACATGATTGTAACAGGTGCATTTCTAAAGATTTGGAAGCTCCATTTCGTAAGCACATAGAAATATACAAAAGCAGAGCCAGATCTTGTGCTGGTGTAAATTGGCACAGTTCTCCTGAATCAAAAAGCACTACCTAAATTGATATCACTCAAGATTTGACCCATTATTTCTGTACAAGCTATACAAGCTCCCCCTGGAAACCAAATGGGTGAGTTGTAAATAAGACCATAGCCACAGAAGACAGCTTTATGGAGCATTTCTTGTTGAGCTTCAGATACATTCACATCGGCCATTCCCAGCTGCTTTTCCATTCTCACACATATTGTTTTCTTCTCTGAATATTATCATTTATGGAGAAAATGTAATGAGGAAATAAACACAGTCTGATGAAAAATGTTAGGGGGTACTGCCTGTTATCGCCCTCCATGCTTTATCATAATTGGTCTATGAATATGAATGTGCATAACTCGAAGGCACTTTAGGCAAAATGCATCACGTAACATTTTTAAAGTTACGATCTGCTGAATGTGTATATCCTATTTTTGTACATTTATCATTCTTGTATGTGAAACTAGACACATGACATGTGGATATGCTTATAATTCTAAATATGCTAAATGAGGACCATTACTGATACTCCAGAAACTTAATGGCCTAGTGCTCAAACCAATGATCTGTCAATGGGTTTGTTTTTTCCTGTAAGCCCAAACTGTGGCAGGTCCTACAAATATACGTGGCCAGGCCACCTAATGCTAGAACCCATTTTGGATCTGGGAAAGGACTGGACCCAAGTGAAGAGGCTGCCTAGCTTGTGATCAGAACAACGGTTAGGGTAAGAATTTGCATGAAACAGATTTCTTAGGCCTTGTCTACACTACAAGATAAGGTCGAATTTATTAAAGTTGATTTTCTAACACCCAATTTTGTAAAGTTGAAGGTGCATGTGCCCACTGTTTATAAGAATTCAACAGTTCAAAGTAGTGCATCTTCAGTCAGGTGGCTACCATCAACTTTGAGAGGGGTGCACTGTGGGTAGCTATCCCAAGGTATGCTACACGCGGCACGGGGTTCGAACCGGAATAATGCACTCATTACTCCTTCCTTCCCTGCTCCCTGCTCTGTTCCCCCCTCTCCCTCCCACTTGAAAGTAATGGCAGACAGTCTTTTCATGCAGATGCCAAAGCAGCATGGATCCCATGATGGAACCTGTTCATCAAAAAAGTATTATAGCAATCATATTATTGACGGTGTGCCCTTACGCTGGAGTATATCCAGAGCATATCAAGGCCCACTGGAAAGAGGATGAATCTCAGGGGCCACAAACATACTCTTCTGCAAAACACTTGAGTTGAGCGACTCCCAAACACCACCAGCATTCAATCCTCTTGGCACAGTGGAATGCCAGTGCTGGTGCCATGAGAAAAGCAAAGTGGTGCAGCTATGGACGATCAGCAGTGACTGGAAAACTTTCGATAAGTCCACTTTCGGGGAAGTTTGCTAATTGCTTGGCCCTGCCCTGAAGTGCACCAATACCAAAGTGAGATCTCTTCTGGCAGTTGAGAAGGGAGTGACAATAGCCCTGTGGAAACTTGCAATGTCAGACAGCAGTTATGCTCCTAAAAAGCGTATGGGACTTTTTAGGGGAAAAGGCAATAGGCTGCATTTATTAACTACGAATATTACTACATTTTAACTACACAGCTATCAGTCAGTTGGCAATCAATTTGGAGTAGGGAAATCTACAGCAGCAGCTGTGGTGCTAAGGCGATCAAGGCCCTGAGAACAGCCACACCAGACGATGCACGTGTCATGGAAGTCACAGAATACCTCTGAATCCATGACTTCCGCAACCTCCATGACAGACACAGAGCCTGACTCATAATTACCAGCAGCAGCATTCCATGGATTACATTCTCACATTTGACAGCTGGCTGTCATTTAGCTACATGTCATTTGCATTAATAAACTGGTGAATTAAGCAGTCCACTAACCAAAAGAATGTTGAATGAAGAGAGTAGCCAATTGTAATCTTTTAAAAAGTGTGTAAAATAGGTTTTTCTGGGGGGAGGCAGCTAAATTCTAAAGACTCCTGAGTCACCTCCCTGTCCCCCACACACCTTATTTTCTTTTAAACAAAATGGTAATTTTGTTCTGCCATATTTCCTGTTCACAGGTATCTCATTCGTGAACTCGATTCATGAGCATTCTTTCTAATTTTTTATATATCTCTTTCAGTTGCCTACACACACTTTTGTAATTACCAGAAACCTTTTCTAAACTTTTTTTTTCAAAAGAGCATTTTCTGACAAACAATTGGTATTTGATATTAAGCCCTGAGATTTTTGTCATCGATATGCACTGTTCCATACAGGCATCTTTAAAGATTTAATTTGGTCCCATTCTATCTACTCTTGCTTCCAACTGAAGGCTACGCAAAATGCAAAGACGAGTGGGAAAAAAATGATTTAAGGTGGTATAAGGAATATAAAAAATAGAGGTAAATTAAGAAAGCTATGACTATACAAACCAAAAAGAAATAAAGGTCCTTTCTGCCTGTGTACTAAATTTAAGCTGAATTTGGAGGGAGGGGGAAAGTCCTCTGGGTGAAATCCAAATAAATTATCCAGAAGACACTGTAATTGGGCAGTGGCAGAGGGTGGGCTAAATGAGCTAATAGAACTTTTCCATTGCTAATTGAGATGATTCAGTTTGAACACAGGTTTGCTTTAGGTACCTGTTAATATTGTACTAAATGGATTGCTGATTAAAAATTAAAATATTAATATACACCACTGTGCATTTTCAATAGAAGCACTATTTATAGTGAACCAAATCTCATTTATCTTACAAGGAGTGGTCCTATCACCAGGAGAAAGCAAACCAGGTTTTTCCCTCCTGTGGTAGTTGACAGGGGAAGCCAATAGGACAATGTGAATTTAAAGAAAGAACTGTTAGCAATTACAATTTATTTGTTTCAGCAAGAGGATTTTACTTAATTGGAACCCCAAAGTCTATCACACTGAAGTGCTTATCTGGAATACCTCCATTCCATTTTTGGAACTGAGACCCCCTTGCAAAAACTAATGAATATGTTTAACTTTATGCATCTGAGTAGTTTCACCGTAAATCCACGTGCTTGAATTTCATCATCAGCCAGACTTTCAAAAGAGCTCTAAATCTTGGGTGCTGAGGATCTGGCCCTGAACTCTAAGGCTTTGTCTACACTATGACTTTTTCCACAAGAGGCAATGCAAATGAAGCATGGATTAGCATTTTCTCACACTTCATTTGCATACTCCCTTTCTTTCTGTTTTTGCGCTATGGGTTTTTGCACAAAAACAGGCAATGTGGCTGTGGCCGTTTTGTGCAAAACCCCCTTTTTCCACAAGATCCTTATGCCTGTCCCGGAGACTTTTTAAAGGATGAAGGTTTTTACAGGATGAAGGTTATATATTGTTCAGGAACCAGTAATTCTTTGTATATTTTAACCTTCCTCTTTTAAAAACCCAAACCCTAATTGTCTCAGCTGCTAGAAAAAGGCTGCAATCCAAAATTTAATCTAGCATTGAGTAATGCAAGTGGTAAATAAATCTCAGAACTTCAAAAAGGATGCTTAGGGCTCCTATATAAAGCAGCATGATCAGCAGTTCTGAAATGTGTTAAAAATATAAATTCACTTGTAAGCTGAACCTGATGCTTTCTTGCTACTAGGAAAGGGTGATTTTTCTTCCCTTCTTCAAAATAAAAAACCCTTGGAATAGAACACTGACTGTATCATTAGCAGTTGTGTTGGATCTCGGCTTCAGTTGTGACTCAGGAACTCATCCCTGTTCAGGATGACACTCAAAAATATGCTGAAATGTATGCTTACCTCTCACTGGAACATAAGTGTAAGTGCTTTCCTCATTTGGGGACAGGATTGCCACCTCCGGTGTGGCAACGCCAGCTACCATTTAAAACAATCAAGCTTTTCAATACAGGAAGGTCTTGTGGAGATGAGAACCTTTGCAACACGACAGCATGTTATTTTGCTATTTTCCTATGAGCATTATTTTTGAATTGTCGACCCAATACAAAGAGATTGTGTCTTGTTATTGGTAGACTACCACAAAATTAACACAGTGCTATTGGCATTAATTACTGGGACTGTGAATTGCCATTTGTGAATTGCTTCCCCTTAATTGAACCATTGCAAGAGTTGTAGCCGCAGCAGGTAGTTCAGGTCATAACTATGCTGTAATCACACACACACACACACACACACCCCTCACTCTATTTATATGTACAGTCTGTTACTCAGAAAGGGTATGTCTACACTACCCCGCTAGTTCGAACTAGCGGGGTAATGTAGGCATACCGCACTTGCAAATGAAGCCCGGGATTTGAATTTCCCGGGCTTCATTTGCATAAGCCGGATCACGGGCTTCATTTGCAAGTGTGGTATGCCTACATTACCCTCCTAGTTCGAATTAGGAGGGTAGTGTAGACATACCCAAAGAGAGTTTTCTTTTCATTTCTTCAGCTAGACTATATGAATTCCTTACATGTTTATAAGTTCAAACTCAACTCAATAAACTATCCATCTGGCATCTATGCTGCAGAAGGAAGAGGCGTCAACCCTTGCTAAGATGCCGCATCAAGAGAATTTTTATTATTGTTGTTGTGTTCCACTTGCAGCACCTTTATTCCTGGCATAACGAGCCAGGCCAGAATTTGACTTTCTGATTCCAAGTTGAGCTGGCACTGGCTATGTGAGCAGATTTGGTAGGAAGTCACTGAAACAAATAAACAAGGAATTTCATACAACATTCACAACCGTCTTTCAGAGTATAACTGCTGTCCTTTGGATAACAGATAACTGGGGGCATGTCTAGACTACATTTTACTTTCGAAAGAAGATATGCAAACTCAGCGGGAATTTGCATATCTTCTGCTCCCTTTGTCA